GGGGCAATATGCTGACTCTGTAAACCGCTTAGAGAGGGCTGAAAGCCCTATGAAGCGGTATATAAGTCTAACTGCTATTGCTATTGCTAATATATTAAATAATGGACATGATTGTAAATTCTAACTGTTATTGCACAACACATTTCTACCCTGATGACACACTGTTTAATGGACGATGGACTTTTTCTATTAAAATAAAATAAAAAAATTATACTTAAAAAAAAAACATTCAGGCAATTGGCAACTGATTCCTACTTATGACGGTTGCCGTGTCCCTGGGTTGCGTGATCCCCTTTTGCGACCTTTGGACAAGCAAAGGCAACGGGGAAGCCTGATTCACTTAACAACCGTGTGCCCAACTTAACAACTGTGATTCACTTAGCAACAGTGGCCAGAAAGGTCCTAAAACGGGGGGAAAACCTCACTTAACCAATGTCTCACTTAGCAACAGAAACGTTGGGCTCAATTGTGGTTGTAACTCGAGGACTAACCATGGGGAAGCCAGCTTCACTTTAACGACCGATTTGAGTAATTGAACAACCGTGGCGGTTCGCTTCACAAGCGGAGCAAGAGAATTTGCCAATTGGGGGCAAAGCTCACTTAACAAATTCCTCGCTTAGCGACAGAAATGGATTGTGGTTGTAAGCCGAGGACTGCCTGCAAAGTTCTGTTTATTCGCAGCAGGGTTTTCGTTTCCAAATCTCTCGCGCGAAACTCGCCGAGTCAAAGCCCCCATTTGGATGTGGGACGGCGCCTTCTACTTACCCCCGATGCTGTTTCCCCAGGCCAGCAGGGTTAAGCCCAAGACAGTGTTGCTCAGGTGGAAGATGATGCCCAGGGTCTGCAGGATGTTCACCACTTCCGTGGCTGCGGCGTTGATCCACATGGCGCTGACAAAGAACCCCAGGAAGGCAAACAGCTGTTGCCCGAGGGAGGAAAAGGGAGCGCAGGAAGAGAGAGAGAGCCATGAATTCACCCTTCCCGTGAAATCGTGGTTTTGTTTTAGCATTGCCTGCGGTATAATAGCAGTGGACTTATATACCGCTTCATAGGGCTTTCAGGCCTCTCTAAGCGGTTTACAGAGAGTCAGCATATTGCCCCCAACAATCTGGGTCCTCATTTGACCCACCTCGGAAGGATGGAAGGCTGAGTCAACCCTG